CCCCCATACCAACTTGCATAACCACTACAGCCAAGCTAACATTATATGTACAAGATCACCATGGCTACAATAACAGAGGTAAGCTAAAGAACCACATTAGGTTGCACTATACCATCGTCCCATGCTGATAAAACCACCCTCCATACCAGCTTGCATAACTTGGGGAAGATTAGTAGCCTAAAGATTAGCAGATACACAGAAACAACTACAGACGCCTTTGAACAACCTTATGCAGCTTTCTCTGAGGTTGAAAGACTGATGAAATGTATAATACAATCATTAGGGAGAGCTGTATGAGTTTTCAGTCAACTGATGATGTGTGAAAGTGTTATCATGAGGGTTAGCAGCAAGAGAGGGAGGAGGAGGAGAAGGGAGGTTTAAATAGGTGAGACACTCTGTAATGGCGTGAGCAGCTTCTCTGTCAGACAGAGCCACTTCACTGAGTCTGTGTTCATGTCTCCTTATCTGACTGTTGGGAGAGAGGGAGTGAGGGTAATGAAGTAAGAGAGGGATTATACAATGTATATAGAACATGTGGGTGTTGGGATAAAATGTACTAAAAGAGGAAGAAACAAAACAGAGGTGTTGTATACCAGTGAGTGGAGGGAGCCATTCGACACAGGTTTCTGAGGACCAGAGCAGCTGTCACACGACGCGAACCACCTTAACCAGCATAACTCAAAAACCGAAAGAGATAAAGGCATGAAATTTTGTAGGAATATACATATCCACAACCACATGTGCAACGTCATGCTTTTTTGTTTGTAAACAATGTTGTTAACTGTAAACAACAACAAAATTGCCCCAGGCAATACATTACAATGGGCATACTACATGTGTCAGTGTAATTCAGAGCTAGCATCTCTGAGCTTCCACAAACAACATCCCTATCGTTATTTACAACATTTACTTGTCTGGTCACTAGCTCCGTGGAGATTCGATTCACCTGGGAGAGAGGAAGCAAATGTAGTGACCCTCACTATTTCTTTTGCTTTGAGTCTCCGCTTGGCTTCGAAAGTCTTTTTAACATCGCTAATCAGCTAGCCTAAAATCATATTTGGCGCTCGGGTTGTTTCCACGGCCAAAAAATTAGCGCATGCGCGTGATAAAAATTGTGATAAACTATGTTGGCATCAATCACATATTGTGGATCAGTGCATGTGTGGAGTGAAGTATATTGAGTCAAAACTTGAGCTTTTTTCTTGTTCATATTTGTACTAACAGCTAAACAGTTATCTGCACAGTTCGCGTCACTTTTTAGCAGACTACTTGACATACAATTCAACCAGTTCCACTGCTATGTTGTCCTGTGTTATGTGATTCCATAAACACATTCTCAGCTCAAGGTCATCACTAGTTGTCTGGTTGAGGGTTTTGGTGAAATATGGAGGATTGTGGAGAGAGCAACATGTACTGGTGGAGTGACAGTCTTCACCATCCCAGAGAGTGTCATTGGAGTGGAAGCTGTTAGAATATGGTACACCACTGCCATATACATACCCAGACTCACAGAAGTAATCTTCTCCAACAAATGGTGGGATCGATGTAACAGCACTAGTGTCACATGGGCACTGGTTGCCCTGGGATAGTGACCTATTCTCAAATGCCCCATTAGCAAATGTCCAGATGTGTTGTCGAGGACTGCCATGCATTACAGCCACACCACAGACATAGGCACTGTCAATTGTAGTTTGTCCACCATACTTATACCCCCAGAAGGCATCAGGCAGTCCATACTGGTAGGCTCTGATCCTGCCACACACCTGACTGTATGGTCCTCCACTGACAGGGAAGAAGACTGAGTCACAAGTCCCAGATCCAGTACTAACTCTGCCACAAGTTCTCTTGGAGTATCCAGTCATATGCCAGCCAGAGGGACAGTTGGTGTTGGGGTCTGTCATATCCAGGTAGACTGCACGTCTCCAGTTTGCAGTACCTCCACATGCGTAACGAACACTGTTATTAACGATCTGTTCTGTCAGGCTCTGGTTCATTCTCATCAGTTGAGTAGTGATTTGATTGTCATGTTCGTCAATCTTGTCACATATCGTGTTGGCCGTGTTTCTGTGTGTCTGCAATATTATTTCTGGCAAAGAATTGTGATTGTCATCTTTGACATACATCTCGACTAACTCAAGAGCAATGGCTCCGTCCGTGTGATAATTGCACATTCTCAGTTCAAGGTCATCGTTAGTTGTCTGGCTGAGGGTTTTGGTGAAATATGGAGGATTGTGGAGAGAGCAACATGTACTGGTGGAGTGACAGTCTTCACCATCCCAGAGAGTGTCATTGGAGTGGAGTCTGTACTCTGCAGTACTATGCGTACCCAGGATATACATACCCTGACTCACAGAAGTAATCTTCTCCAACAAATGGTGGGATAGATGATTGATTACCAGTAGTGTCACATGGACAGAGGTGGTCCCCAGGGGTCGCATTCTCAAAACCTCCAGCTGCAAATGTCCAAATATGTTGCCGAGGAATTCCATGCATTACAGCCGCACCATCAAAGTAAACGCTATCAACTGCAGTTTGTCTATGAAAGCTATACCCATGAAAGGCATCAGGCAGTCCATACTGGTAGGCTCTGATCCTGCCACACACCTGACTGTATGGTCCTCCACTGACAGGGAAGAAGACTGAGTCACATGTTCTCTCTCCAGTACTAACTTTGCCACAAGTTCTCTTGGAGTATCCAGTCATATTCCAGCCAGAGGGACAGTTGGTGTTGGGGTCTGTCATATCCAGGTAGACTGCACGTCTCCAACCCCATGTTCCTCCACATGTGTAACCAGTAATTTGTTGTGTTAGATTCTCCTTCATGTCCTTCAAATCAGATTTGATTGCAGCCTCATGTTTTTCAAACTCAGCCTTAACATCATTTAAATCATCTCTCATTGATTCATTCAGAGAACTCAGTCTAGTGTCAAGTTTCTCAACCTCTTGACTCAGGCTTGCCATGTCAGACTTCATATTCTTCATGTCTTTCTCAATAGTCTCCAAACCTCGTCCTACAACTTCATACACAGCTGCAGCAATCCTTACAACTGCAGCAAACACATCCAGTATTGTGAAGGGCGAAATTGTGGTGCCAAGTATTATCTATTCCCTTACCATCACATTGAGACTGTCCCAGCTGTACATTAGACAGTGTCACTAGACACAAGACCAGCAGAAAACACCTGTCCATCTCTCAGAAGGCGTTCAGGCTCCCTGCAATACATGCACCACTACAGCCAAGCTAACTATATATTATGTACAAGATCACTCTGGCTAAACAGTTACAATAACAGAGGTAAGCTAAAGAACCACATTTGGTTGCACTATACAATCGATCCCATGCTGATAAAACCACCCTCCATACCAGACTTGCATAACTTTGGGAAGATTAGTAGCCTAAAGATTAGCAGATACACAGAAACAACTACAGACGCCTTTGAACAAACTTATGCAGCTTTCTCTGGGTTGAAAGACTGATGAAATGTATAATACAATCATTAGGGAGAGCTGTATGAGTTTTCAGTCAACTGATGATGTGTGACAGTGTTATCATGAGGGTTAGCAGCGAGAGAGGGTGGAGAGGAGGAGGGAGGTTTAAATAGGTGAGACACTCTGTAATGGCGTGAGCAGCTTCTCTGTCAGACAGAGCCACTTCACTGAGTCTGTGTTCATGTCTCCTTATCTGACTGTTGGGAGAGAGGGAGTGAGGGTAATGAAGTAAGAGAGGGATTATACATGTATATAGAACATGTGGGAAAATGTACTAAAAGAGGAAGAAACAAAGCAGGTGAGAGGTGTTGTATACCAGTGAGTGGAGGGAGCCATTCGACACAGGTTTCTGAGGACCAGAGCAGCTGTCACACGAACTGCCTTTGTCAGAGGAGACTCCACTTCATTCTGGAGTCAAAGAAAACCTTCCTTACTCCCTCCTCTCCCCTCTCACTCACACTCTCTTACCTCAAGAGGAGGACAATGTTGCAGTTTTGCGAGAGTGACTGCCACAGAGGGTGGAATGGGCTTGGGACCTGGACTACAATGATGGGTCTGCATGGAGAATAAATGTCATAAACTTACTGGCTAACTATAGGGTAAAAGTGGGCACTATCTAGAATGGTGGCCAATATGGACAGGTTCTAAGTGGGCATTATTTAGAAAGGCAAAGTGGGCATTATTTGGAACTCCACCTCCAGATGTCTTATGAGAGAGGGTTTCATTCTCAGTGGGGTGGTGTTGCAGCCGGCCCAGTGGCAGGGAGACGGGGAGAGGGAGGAGAGAGGAGAGATGTGGCAGTTGACTGCATGGTGCAACAGGTCACACCACGAGTACCTGGGTCACAAACCAGGAGTACCGCAACTGTGGGAGGAGTTAGAACAAACCTCTATGAAGGACACTAATTTACTAATCTAGAATAACAAACATTAGTAGATTAACTAGTCATGTTTGTAAGGGATTTTCAGATACACTCAACTTCATTACTGGTTACAGTTTCAGGACTTCAAAAACCATTATATTTCGTCTTGATTTAATAGAATTGTAGACCCCTTTTTTCCCTGCTCCCACTGATTTCATAATCTTCAACATCACTACTCTCACCACAGGTTCATCTTGTGATCTGGTTCATTAGTCTACTGATATCCAAGAGTGGAACCCTGCATGAGGACACCAAATTGAAATGAACCAGAATTTATTAGTTACTAATTCATCACCCTTCAGGTAATGTATGACTTTTCTCCTGTACGGCTTAACTTGTTTGACCTTTGTGAGAGAGAGAAAAAAAACTAACAATACACACATCAACACAAGTCACTGAAAATTGAGATGCCACAGAATTCTTGATAAAAGCAAACCTGTTTTTCTGGTTTATCCCTGTTTTCTTGTGACCTTCCTGCCAGGCCTTTTTCTGGTGAGTACCGGTTTCTCTGTCTCTCCTTCCTTTGTTCCTTTCCCTCTTTCTCTCTCCCTCTCTCTTCCTCTCCACATTACTCTCCTTCAGTGGTACTGTCTTTAGCTTCCCTGTAATGAGAGAGAGAAGGTGGGTAGGTTTAAATGCAGACACTGTGTTTGTTGTATGTTCTTCAAAAGGCATTCAGACTGCTATCAGTACTTTACCATCCTAAAACAGAAATTACATAAAAGAAACTAAACTTTTTCTTGATTGTGTGATTGCTTGCACTGTATAGCTATGCAGTTTACCTATGTAAATTTGGATCAACATAAGTCTGACCTGAGTCAATGTAGGAGTGTTTCTGCAGCAGTTGATGTGTAGACGGCAGCAGGAGACTGGAGGTCGACCCTCCTACTCCGCCAGGCAGGAGCTCCAGAACAGACCTCTTCTTCCTCGGGGCGTGAGGCGTACTAGACAGTCCCTTGGCTACCCGTCTTTCTCTGTGACGACTCTTCCTTTGACCTACTGTCCGTCGCAGTGGTAGGAGGCCTGGGTCGCTTCCCGCTAGTAGCGTGAGCCGCGCCGGGAGAGCGAGGAGACGGTTTAGGTGGGGCTCCGGGGTTTTCTTCTCCCTCGCCGCGCCGTGCGGCTCCGAGCGGTAGAGGCGGTGGTTGGTAGACACGCTGCTGAGGTCCACCGTAGCCGGCGTACTGCCAGGGAATCTTCAGCTGCTGAGCCATCCTCGAGTAGTCAGAAGTGGTGGCTACGTGCTGCGCGTTATTTAGAAAACGTAGCTACTGCCTTTGCAGTATATAGCTCCGTGGAGATAGAGAAGACAATTTACTGCGAAGAGAGGGAGGAGGAAAGTGTAGCGAACCCACTATTTCTGTTCCTTTGGATCTCCGCTTTGCTTTGCTTTCCTGCTGTTTGGCGCGCGGGTAGTTTCCATGGCAACACACCTGAGCGCATACGCAGTAGGTACAGCAACTACAGCTGCGCGTGTATACGTGAGTGTACATGTGTATTGTAAAAAGGTGTGTATAATAATTATTGTGCCAAAGTTGAGCCTTTTTCTACTAACAATTATATAGAGTGAAGGACAGTACGCAGCTACTTGACGTACAATTCAACCAGTTCCACTGCTATGTTGTCCTGTGCTATGGGGTCATAGAGACACATTCTCAGCTCAAGATCATCGTTAGTTGTTTGGTTGAGGGTTTGGGTGAAATATGGCGGATTGTGGAAAGAACAACATGTACTGGTGGAGTGACAGTCTTCACCATCCCAGAGAGTGTCATTGGAGTGGAAGCTGTTAGATGGTACACCACTGCCATATACATACCCAGACTCACAGAAGTAATCTTCTCCAACAAATGGCGGGATCGAT